AAGACAAATTTTCTAGTACCACATGTGCTCATAAGTTTTTATTTTATTATATCATTATAATTCTTTGGAGACCATAGGCCTACTTAGACATTTGCTTAAACCTGGATTTTAAAAGATGTAGATTTCTAAGGTTTGGCTGCTACCTTTATAACTTATATTACAAGTTTAAAGTATGACAGTAGAGAAACAGTCATGCTTATTTTCTGCTAAGAAAGTATCAGTATTTCTGAAAGTATTCAGAAAGTATCTCTTTGTTTTTTACTCTTAGCTATGCTTATTAAATTTGGCTTTAAAAATATTATTGTACTATAATTCTAAAAACATTTCTTCTGCTTGAAGCACTTTTTCTTGGAAAGAGTTCCTTTTTTTCAATTGATGTTGTTTTTTCTCCATATAAATAGGGTCCAGTCATGGAAGAGCTCATATGGGAACAGTACACAGTGACCTTACAAAAGGTAGTATGTTATTTGTTTATAATTTTCTAATAGCTTTTTTGCACTGAAATATCTCATATCAATTGACAAACAAGATATGTTCCAATTTTAATTGCGTTTCAATAACAAAATATTTTAACCCTGATAAGTATACTGCTTAAACATTTTTTTTAAAAAGCCCTCATTTATTGTCATCAATAATTTTCTTTGCAATGCTAGCAATTCATTTTTCTAAAGCTACTAAAAATACCCAGAATTTAAAAAATAACATCAACCCTTTCTTAAAGGTTCAGTTCTCTATAACCCAAGGAAGAAATAGCACAGTTTAAAATGCCACTAAACCTCTGGGCTTTTCCAGCACTCAGTTTTGATTATCACGAAGGAAATGTTTTGGAACAAATTACATTCTTTGGAACATAGAGGAGTCTAGTGTTCAGGTCTACAGCTTTTTCTAAATGCTACTGTTCCCCAAAGTCATCAAAGTTATCTTCATTTGCTACAAAGGGACAACAGTCCCATTCATGCAATAAAAAAAGGATAGAATTTACCCCGACACTGGTAGTACAAAAAGAGCATGATGTAGTGTTAAGACACCAGGCTAGAAACCAGGAGATGCGTGTCCTAGTCCCATTTTAGGCAAGAAGCCAGCTGGATGACCTTGGAGCAGTCCCTCACTCTCAACTCTAGGAAGAAGGTCATGGCAAAACACTTCTGAGTATTTTGCCAAGAAAACTGCAGGAACTAGTCCAGACATTTAACCAAGAATCAAAAGTGACTTGAAGGCACAAATAAAATTAAAAAATGGTGATGAGCAGCCTTTCCTCTTATAAATTACACTGTGACATAAGCACTTGGCTTTTGTGTATACAGCTGTTGTCTTTTTTCTGAGCAACAATACATATAAAGGCCTCCAGCATGCAGATAAACCTGTTTGCGCAAACCATATTTTTGTCTTTGATGTCACAGTGGGGCTTATGAAAGGGAAGGACTGCTCAGAGGTCTCGAAACTGAACTGTGCACAGATTATCCAAGAAATGCTGGACAACTATCCATTCCTTTTCCGTGACCATTACAGAATACTGAAATAATTGTATTTCCACCTATTTGTTTTACTGTCTTAAATGGAAGGTTTTGATCTGATCATTTCTTAAACAGAACCGTGGAATGGTCTCTTGGTTAACAAAAGGCCCAGTTTAAATTCCAAAACTTAAATGAAGAGTTTAAAAAATAACTATATCCAACAAAAAAGAATATGGTTTTCTCTAATGGATACCAGTGTAAGATTGTCACGTGGAAGGTTAAAAGAAGGGACTTTTTAACAAATTTACTTATGCAGAGGCTTGGGAAGGCAGAAACAAATACAGGCTTATAGCTTGTATTAACTTTCTGAACTAGAAGTAATTCCTTCGTCTTATTTAAATTCAAATGTAGCATAACACAAATGCCCCACATCCCCTTATTCTTCTTTCTTCCAGTGATTCCAGTGCCTTGCTTCCCTTTCCCTTTACATGTTTGAATTCAAGCTTAGGGTTTTATTATTTATTTACAGGTAAAAGTCGAAAAATTAGGATATAGTGCAAAAGTTCATTTATTTCAGTAATGCAACTTAAAAGGTGAAACTAATATATGTGATAGACTCATTACATGCAAAGCAGGATAGTTCAAGCTGNCAGACTATTCTGTAATTTAGATTTGCTAGTAATTAGATTTACTAGTAATAATGGGGCTCTGGCAGTTGTCTAAGATATAGGTCAATTATATAGAACTCCATTCTAATAAAGCTTATCTTTCTAAGAATGAGAATAAGAGGCCACAAAGGAGGGACCAGATAAAAGCAGGGAGATTGGTAGTTATTACGGTACTTATGAGATTGTTTTGACACTCAGCTTCTATTTGGTTAAATATATAGGCCTGTAGTTTCTTAAATTACAGTGGTTCCTTCCCAAAGGTTGTTTTTTTTAAACAGTTCTTCTTGGCTGAGAATGAGACACATTATTAGTTTAGATGAATTGTTATTACAGAATAGTGAAATTGTCATGGATTATGAATCATCTACCCTGAACATGAAAGATATGATTTATTTCGAGTCAAGAGAATTAATAATTTAGACAATAATAAATTGAAGGAGTGGAGAATTTAAGCAGCCTTGTGGATTATGTTATACTTATCTGAGAATATTAAAAATACATTTCTGTGTATGACTACTCAAAATTATGTTCTGCTGAGCTCACTAAGACCTACTCTAAGCAAAGTTGCAGCCTTAATCACAAAGCTGCAGTGATGTATTTTCCAGGGGAAAAATATCTGTCCAGATTAAGCAGATGTTGATGTGTTAATCTACATAGAATAATTTTCTATTTGCTCTGTGTAGCTCACCAAGGAAACATGAAGTTGCCATATATAAATTAGCCTATGCAGATTAGTTCAGTGTGCACATAAAAGGACAAATTGGTGATGTGATGTTAGAAAATTTTCTTTGGAAAGATAAAGCAAGTTGCTATTATTAAATGGATTGTGCCTGATTTTCTGGCCCTTTTTGCCACAATTGTTAAGCAAATCAATTGCAATAGCACTTAGATTTATATTCTAGTTCACAGCTCTTCTAAATGGTACACAGAATCAGCATATGGCCCACAATAATCTGGGTCCTCATTTTACCAACCTTGGAAGGATGTAAGGCTGAGTCAACATTGAGTGGGTCTGAATAATTCCTGGCAGTGAGCAGTGAGTTAGCCTATGAGTTAGCCTGCAATACTGCATTCTAACCACTTTGCCACCACAACGCATGCAAATCACTGCTGTTGTTAAATGAATCATGCAGTTGTTAAACAAATCTGACTTCTCCCATTGACTTTGCTTATCAGAAACCAGCTGGGAAGGTCACAAATGGCAATCATATGCCCCCAGGTTGCTCAACCATAATAAATACTGCAGAATGCTTGAATTATGATCACATGACTGTGGGGATGCTATGGGGGTCATAAATGTGAGGCCTGGTGATAATTCAATTTTTCAGTTCTGCTGTAACTTCGAATAGTTGTAAATTGAGGACTACCTGTACAGTAGTTTCCCAGTACTTGGATTCCAGAGGCAGTCGTACTGTCATCACATCTAATAGCTATTTATCTCCATGACTTCCATTAATTGGTCCACTTTTTTTTAAAGTCAACAAAGCTGGTAGCCAGCACCACATCTGGTTGCTTATTTTATTGCACTATTGACTTGGCTGCAAATCTTTAGAGGAGTTATCTTCATTCCTGCCCATGTGGAAACATCAGTGTTAGGAATTCTTTTTCCTTGCACTGCATATACTACATACACTACATTTGCTGGTGAGCAGAAGAAGGTACATCAGTTGTCTCAATACTGTGAACTTGCTTCTGCTTCCTAGACAAATTTACCTAACTCCTGGTGTACGTATTTAATTGAATATGACATAACTTCAAAAGCTTTCTTTGAAAGAATTTGCAATTGGGGTACCTTTTCTATGCAGTTTTACAAAATGCTCTCAAAATTGATAAGATAGCTCTTAAAATTCAAATGCTCCATGATCACTAGCATTTGGCATTTGAAAAGTTTGTGGAAAGTACAGCTTCAAATGCTTTACTGGATTATATGTAATTTACAGCAGTATATGTGACTTTATAAAAAGAATGACCTTTCAGCTCAGTTTCAGTCAGATGATTTCCTTTACTTTCTGCATTATGTATAGAAGATTGGCAAATAGTTGCTTAATGCCACCCTCTAGTGGAAACTAATTTATAGATTGAGGTGTTTAATACCAAGCAAGTTGGCTACACCTGTGACAATTTAGTTTATACTATTCATTGATATCGTTCCAAATTTAAAATTGCTGGAAATATGATCATTTGTATATGATACAACAATATATTAAAGGTTTCATCCATCTTTGTCATACATTATCAGTTCTGGTTTTGATACATTTGTACACATGCGCAAGCTATTTAAATTGAGCGACTCAAATCTCATTGGCAAATATGTATAAAATCACATGAGTGAAAAACTGAAGACAAAGGAAAATATGCTTCCCACCATTCTTTAAAATGAAGCTTTGAAAAATAAGTTTCTAAATTCAGAGAAAATAGAAATAAATAGATGGGAAAATAATTAAGAGATAAGTAATTGAGTGTTAAATAGCCTGCATTTTTTTTTGCAGAAAATTAGAAACAAATAGGAGCAGAAGGTAAATGAATTGAAAATATATCATTTCCAATGTCCATTTGGTTATGCTGATATATACCTAAAGAATGTAACACAAATGGCAAATAGAGTAAAATTTATGTCCCTAAAAATACATGTCTTTCACGAAAGTAGCAATCACATTTGGGATATGGACATGGGATAATTAAAGCTGTTATCCTACTATTTTTTAATAATAATGAATATTATGCTTAAAAACTAAACAGAACAGATACTGTGTTTCCCCNCACCAGAGGCCAAAAACATGAGGCATGGAGATAGCGATGGACTGTGGCAATCCCTGCAGCCTGGGACACCTGATTGGGGGTATTCCGGCAGTCGGATCCACCCGCCAATCAGCTGTACGGAATCAGAATGCAATAAGTGCTAAAGCTTCCTTGGATGATTAGAGTTTGCAGCAGCAATCACATTCAGAAATCACACACAAGTAACTGATTCAGCAGTATTCAAAATAATAATAATTATATACAATACAATACTAAAAGCAGGTTTTCCAAGGTAGCAGTAAATACAAGCAAAACACAAGCAGTTTCACTTTCAGTTCTCAGCTAAGCCAGACTCCTTCCTTTCTCCTTGTTGCTTGCACAGCAAATACTGTTCAGAGTCCAAATAGCCCTCATTGACTGACTTAGTTGCTGTGCCTATGGCTCACCAAGTCATGAACTCTCACACACTGACAGGAAATTAGCCAGCTGAATAGTATGGATGCTCGTAGGCAGAGGCAGAATTTTTTTTCTTCTCATTTTCCTCCCCCAAAACTAAGGTGTATCTTATACTCTGAAAAATATGGTATTTGATAAGCGTTTAGAAGGCTCAGGATATGCCTATCTGGGTTTTGTAATTAACAGTTTCCATTTTACAGAAGTTTTTCAAGCTGTCCTGATTCAAATCAAATATTTTCTTTAACCCCACCTTGCTTCTATGATTGCTCACCAGTTATGCGATAGTTTCAGAATGTTTTGAAAATCTGTAAAGTATCAGCTACGGACACAGAAGCTGAGAAGGAGTGACAGACCTATATTTATCTTCTGAATTTGTGGCAGATGGCTTCTTAATTTGTAGCTCAGTGATTTAAATGCTACATTACTGCAGCCCTCTTCTGTCTCTGTAGTTCCAAGCCATTCGTAAATCAAGATTGTGTAATGTGCTCTTGTACACACTGTAAAAAACATTTTTCATTTATCATGCAATTACCTAGTCTATAGGGAAGTACTTTTTTTTCAGGACAAGCTTAAAATATGGTCTTAGGTTAATATTATATCAATTTTGACTACTGTACTGTACTGGGATTCCTCAAAGACTGTCTAATAAAGAACAGTATATAATTGCAAATTTTTAACTAAAGACAATTTAAAAACACACTATATAACTTTCTCCAAACTCCATAGGGCGTTAAGTTAAGTATATTGCAATACACTTTCCCCAACAGTCTTGGAGGGCCAATATTTAAAAAAAAAATCCCACATGAACTAAAACTGTCCCCCCCATGGACAAGGGGCTATTGAAACAACAGCTCATGCTCTACTGTACTGTACCTTCTATAAGGACTCATAGACCTATCTCTTAACACCTCACCTGATAAAATACCCAGGAAACAATGATATCTGTTATATACACTTGCTGTTGTCAGATCAGTGTAATATAGTTTGTTTGAATGTAGCTAAATTTTATTATTCTGTCTGCAAATTTAGGCAGACTTTGACTGCCCACTGATACTTCACCACCAATTGTTAAATATCTTGTGTTTTTTTAATTTTATTTCATTTTGTTTTTTAAAATAATTTTATTTGTAATGCTGGTCTGTGACTGTAATAAAAATGACTACTATTACTACAATTTAAAAAGTACCCATCTCAGAATGACTACAGGTCTTAACAATGTTTGCTACCTGCACTTCCAAGTAAGAAATTAGGTTTTATAAAGCAACAACATGATGAAAACACATCAGTGGAAACTAGGAAAAACAAGGATATAGTACACATTAGGGATATTGCATTCAATGGAAAAATAGCATTTAAAATGATAAACAACATGGAGAGGAAAGCAGTAAAGGCATGTTAAGCATTCAGAAAGCAATAAAAAAGATGATGAAGAAGAAAGGAGCAATCACTGAAGAAATGTCATTCAATGACAAAAAAGAATTTCAGGGAAAACTAGTGACTGATTTCTTGGGGATCAGTGATGAGACAGTCAGTAAAAGGCAGTTTTTAGGAAAGGGAAAAGACACACTCTGCAGTGTAGAAATAGAGATTTTGAGGTAAACACCTTAGCTTTGGGATCAGGGATTCAGCAGGAGAAGGAGGGAAAAAGAATACTGAAAGCCAACATGTATGTGAAAAACTGATGCAATATGCTGCGGAGACAAGGTAAGAGACAAAAAGAGTGGTTGGAGAAGAAAATCTGTAAGCAAAGACAAATGGTAGGATTGGGAAAGGAAGGATGAAGGTGCATCTTTGTTCTACATTGTTCTGCTTGTTTGAGGATTTATGGTACACAGAGCATCCAGAAATTAATGGAAGGAACATGAGAATAGAGTGGAAGGAAAGTAGAAGTCTCAAAGCTATTTGGCCAGTCTGGATGATCAGCAGTTCTTGGATTTCTGAAGACACCACTGAAGTAATGGAGAGAAAGACTGAAAAATGGATCTCTTTCCTTCTCTCTCTGGATGGCCACAAAGTCAGGGATTCTATACTGTGCTACCTGAGGGGGGTTATTCAGAAGGGCTCTTGAGTCATCCCTTCACAAAGGTCTTCTCAATTCTGATTGTCTTTAAATCGTTTTTAAAATATCAGCTTGTGTACACCATGGTCAGCATAGATGACATTTGTAATACAGTCAAACTTCCAGCAGTAAGTCTACATTATTGCTCCATCTCCCTCCAGTTTAGATTTTATCACAGTAGGCAACATTGACATTAAACCCAAGCAAATACGTAACAGGTCTTATTCTGTACTTTTTATAGGGACTTGCATGCTGCATTAATTGATTCTCTCATTAAAATAATTTCCAAGTAGTATATATCTCCTCTTCTTGGAGGTTTTTTGCTACTTAAGTGTTGCCACATTTTGCCTAGAAGCTATTATCCAACATGGCCAATCTCTTTTAAAATGTTTGTTTTTTATTTTTTTAGAGGTAAGACAGGATTTCATTAGTTTTTTAATCAGATCTTTTAGAAAAACAGAATTTAAAAAAATAAAAAAGTAAAATACAAATTAAACAGGTTCTAATATGTCATGGTTTCCTAATATATCTTTAATTACATTTAAATGATTGAATATAATTGAGGGAGATGGTTGTTGTGTGGTTTTGGTTGTTTACTAAATGTGTGGTGTGCCTTTTCCTTTTTCCCTTTCAGGACTCAAAGCGAGGATTTGGTATTGCAGTTTCTGGTGGCAGAGACAACCCTCATTTTGAAAATGGTGAAACATCTATCGTTGTCTCTGATGTCCTTGCAGGTGGCCCAGCTGATGGATTACTTCAGTAAGTAAGCTTCTTTACCTTAACCTCTTCCTCTTTTTTTGCTTTGACAATTTATTTGTAAAAACAAACGTGTTTCTGAACTTTGGCCTTCCAAGTATTTGCCGAGGTGGCGCAGTGGTTAAATGCAGCACTGCAGGCTACTGCTAGATCAGCAGTTCAGCGGTTCAAATCTCACCGGCTCAGGGTTGACTCAGCCTTCCATCCTTCCGAGGTGGGTAAAATGAGGACCCGGATTGTTGGGGGCAATATGCTGACTCTGTAAACCGCTTAGAGAGGGCTGAAAGCCCTATGAAGCAGTATATAAGTCTACTGCTATTGCTATTGCTATTGCCCATACAAATGTAGCTATTTATTTTATTTTTTACTGTAATCATGATAAATCTGGCTACTGCCAAATTCTCCTTACCTTTATCATAGCTTTACAATAGATAATTTTAAATTTGGGGAAGAATTTATTGTTCTACCGTAGAAGGCAGCATTACGAACATCTGGCTCTTTCTCAGTTTCTTCCGAGAATAAGCATAATACAAAAATAAACAAACCTTTTGGGGATGATGATGATGATACAGTATTTCTCATTGTAGCCAAAGAAAAGAAATGGAAAATGCCATTACTGTATTCTGATGTTTGGTTTCATGATTATTATTATTTTATTCATAAATTTGGTTCTTCAACATTGCTTACATCACTAAATAGTATTTTTATTAAACTACGTGCAGTAATCAGCTATGATTCCGGTAATGAAAGAGAATATATATGCAGTCCTTGGTGCTCTCTAAATTTGGTGGTTTTCTTGCAGACATTTTATTATCAAACTAGGTGACATCATTGGTGCGCTGATGATGAAATGTCTGCAAGAAAACCACCAAGCTCAGCATCAAGGATCCCATAATTCAACACTGAGCTGCAAATATGCTCTTCTGTCAGTAGAAAGTATATATTTGTAAGCAAAACCCAATAGGATCAGGGAAATTTTGCCCAATACAGAGGGGGAAAGTTTACACTGTTTCTCTATAGCAGTGTTTCTCAACCTTGGCAACTTGAAGATGTCTGGACTTATTCTGGCTGGGGAATTCTGGGAGTTGAAGTCCGGACATCTTCAAGTTGCTAAGGTTGAGAAACACTGCTCTATAGTGTTTCTTGGGTATTAAAGGCCAAAGGGAACAATCTGGGAGTAGTACAGGACTAAACAGCTGTATGTGGTTTTTTCCTATATGGACACTAGGAGCCAAGGTGGTGCAGTGGTTAAATGCAGCACTGCAGGCTACTTCAGCTGACTGTAGTTCTGCAGTTCGGCTGTTCAAATCTCACCGGCTCAGGGTTGACTCAGCCTTCCATCCTTCCGAGGTGGGTAAAATGAGGACCCGGATTGTTGGGGGCAATATGCTGACTCTGTAAACCGCTTAGAGAGGGCTGACAGCCCTATGAAGCGGTATATAAGTCTAACTGCTATTGCTATTGCTATTGCTACACTTGCAATTGTGGCAGAATTAGGCAGATCCTCATAGAATAGAATTAATGTTGGACCTATTTTTTTTTAAAAAAAATAATTATTCACTTCTGTTCCAGAGAGAATGACAGAGTTATTATGGTTAATGGCACACCCATGGAAAATGTGGCCCATGCATTTGCTGTGCAGCAACTAAGAAAAAGTGGGAAAGCTGCTGTCATTGTAAGTTTATTATTATTTATTTGAGAAAGAGAGAGACCAGAGAGACCAAGCCTAGTGGTTAAGGTGCTGGCCTAGAACCCAGAGGTGGTATTCAGCCACTTCTGACAGGTTCTGGGAAACCGGTAGTGGAAATTTTGAGAGTGGGGAGGGAATGGGGATTTTGCAGTATCCTTCCCCTGCCATGTCCACAAAGCCACGCCCACAGAACCGGTAGTAAAAAAATTTGAATCCCACCACTGCTAGAAACCAGAAAACTCTGAGTTCTAGACCTACCTTAGGAATAAAAGCTTGTGAGTGACTTTGGGCCACAACATACATATGTCATTAGCAATGCAGTCATTAAGTGAGTCAGGCCTGATTTTGTAACCCTTTTCTCATGGGCGTTAAATGAATCATGTAATCATTAAGTGAATCCAGCTTCCCCAATCTTGCTTGTCCCCTACCCTGGGACACCGCAACCTTCATCAATACATGCTAGTTGCCAATCACTCAAATTTTGATTGCACAACTATGGGGACAATGCAACACTTGTAAACGCGAAGACTAATCATAAGTCACATTTTCCAGCACTGTTGTAACTTCTAATGGTCATTAAGCAAATGTTTAAGTCAAGGACTACCTATATAAAATGATTGACTCCTTTTTTAAAAAGGCAACCTTGTTCTTATATCCTGTCAATAGGTTGTGAAAAGACCACGTAAGGTACAAGTCCCCGTAGTTCAACGAAGCCCATCCCTTGACTACGACTACAGAGCTTTCGAAGCCTTGGATGACCGTGCAGAATTTGACGGTCGAAGCACACGAAGTGGCTACAGTGAGAGGAGTTGGCACAGTGGAAATGCAGGCCGTAGCCAGAGCTGGGGAGACAACCTTGACAGGGGCTACAGAATGGCCCCCAATAAAGGGCGCAACAACAGCAGAGAACGCAGCGCCAGTCGGGATCGAATTCGGGGCCGTAGCATGGATAGAAGCTTGGACCGTGAATACCAACGGCCCCGAAGCAGAGGGCGGAGCGTTGATCGATATGATACCTATGACTATGGGTATGATGGAGGCAAGAGTCTACCAAGAGATTATGACTGGCAATCTCGTCCTGACCCTCAGCGTGGGAGGGAAACAAAGAGTGGTAGCAAAGATAGGCTGAGTACCCACAGTCCCGCCTCTGACCCATACGACCATAGAACACAGGAAGAGCCTGTTAGTATTCTTCTCACAAAAAGCAAATCAAATGAAGGCAAGTTCTAAAATACAAGTTGAAGAAATGTGTCCTCTTGCCTTTTGTTTTGTTGATGCAAAAACCAATTTTGTTGATGTTTTACCATTTTTTCTTCTTCTAAAAAAGACAACCTGTAATTTACAGAGGGAGATATTGCCAAGTTGTAGTTGCATATGTATCTGGAGGGCACCATGTGGGAAAACCCACTGTTTACCAATAGCCACTGAGTGGCCAGTGGGAGGCAGTAGTGTGCCTGGTGATGTGTTCCTTGTTCTTCCTCTACCTAATTTTATAGGAATTTAGCATGGTACAGAGTAGACCTCAGTCATGATTTCCAGCAATATCTGTGGCCATTTGTAGATCCTAAATATTTTTGTAGAAAATAAAAGAGTGGATAACTGCTGCCAAATGATCTTTAATCAGCTATATCCAATCCTGCAACCATTTTACCTGAAGGCCCATATTGGTCTCTCAAATTTTCAAATGTGTTCCCTGATTCCGAAAATGTACAGATTTCCAGATATAGGATATCCATTCATTAGCATTAAACTATTGTAAAGTGCCTAAGTATTTTAAACTTTAATTGGCACGTGTTTACACAAATGAATAAAGAGATATCAGATATATAACGTTCTCCTTTGAGACTTAGAAGTATTTCTAACCATAAAGGAGGAGACATGTTTTGATTTGTTCTCATTAGTTTGGATAGATCAGTCTCAAAATAAATTATTTCCACAGTAAAGTGGAATGTAAGAAAAATTCCCACCTTTTATGTTATTAATAGGTTGAGATTTGTTTGCTTAATATCTCTTTTTGGATGCATCCTGAGAATATATCCATAAATCTGCAAAAAAAAAAAAGTTCAAATTCTGAATGAAGCAAAATTGAATTTAGCATGCTAAATAGAGAGACAGTGAGACTCTTATACTCAAACAATTTTTCTCATGTTATATGGAATAAATAGTGTATCTGGAAATGAGAGACTATCTCTTAAGTAGTTATCCAGTTATCTTTGGAATGTACCCAGAAGCACTGAGAAGTCAAGTTCTTATGTGGAAAGGTTGAAAATGCCTAAAGAAAAGATAAAAAGATAATTTAGAGGCAGTATGATAAGCATCATCAAAAACATGAAATAACTGCCATATAAATTTATTCTCTGTACTTTGGAGAGATAAAGAACCGAATTGTAGGTTCACATTTACAAGAAAATGCATATAACCAATTGTGAGAAAGATGGTTTCTGATAATAGAAACAGGTGATAATGTAATAAAAAATCTAAATAAACAAACTGTCTTTTGTTCATCAAGTACTTTTGAACAAAGGTTGGATGGAATGTATTCTCCTGTGTTAGAAAATTAGTTTAGATGATGGGGTGATACAATCCCATGTTTGAATTCTGTCTGAATTTCAGTATATACTAGGTCATTGCAATGTTGAAAGTTCATAAGGTACTATGCAGTAAATTGTGCCTATGAAAATTGTTTTTTGAGTATAATCTGCCAACTCTATGTGGTGCCTGCTTGAATTATGTTGGTTTGTGAATCCAAAAAATAGCCAAATTTAACTTGTAGACTATCTTTGATTTATGGATCATAAGTTACATCCTCAGTCTAAAATGTGGGAATTGCAAGGACAAGAAGCTTTTGGATACATCCTTCTTAAAAACAAAATTTGGAAATTGCTAGTATGCAATAGGTTTATTTGATAAATTGAAAAACTCCATCTTCCTATTCCTCTTGCAGAATATGGCCTGCGGCTTGGAAGTCAGATTTTTATCAAAGAAATGACTAGTACTGGCCTGGCAACAAAGGATGGCAATTTGCATGAAGGGGACATCATTCTCAAAGTATGTCATTATACAAAGAAACATTAATTTCTTAATGGGGATATTAAAGCATATAACCCTATTGTTGTTGTTGTTGTTATTTTAATTGCTTGTTTGCAAATACTGGATGGAAACTGTTTGAACTTCAGATATAAATCAATCTGTTTTACACATTCAGATCAATGGTACAGTGACGGAGAATATGTCCTTATCAGATGCTAGAAAACTGATTGAAAAATCAAGAGGAAAACTTCAGTTGGTTGTTATGAGAGACAAAAGACAAACTCTAATTAATATTCCTACCATGCAGGACAGCGAGTCAGAAATGGAAGGTAAGAGATAGAAAGTAAAGCCAAATACACTTTTTAAACTGTTAAAAATGTTTTAATGATTTTCAAAAGAGCTATCTGTGTGTAGAATGTTGCATCCTAAATAAATCTAAAAGTGTACCAGTATGCAAAATCTTTGAGTTTTTGTTGTGTGGAAAAACAACAACAGTCTCTTAATCCTGACCAAATCTTTGAGGCGAGGGATAGGAGCAGGGGTGGGTTTCAAAAATTGTTCGAACCTACTCTGTGGGCGTGGCCTCCTTTGTGGGAGTGGCTTGCT